ATTCGATATAATATTACTTAATACGCTTATACTTAGTGCATAGTACAGCGTAAGTATATATATTACATATATATAAGCCATATTCGATATAATATTACCTAATATGCTTATAGTTAGTGCATAGTACAGCGTAAGTATATATATTACATATATATAAGCCATATTCGATATAATATTACCTAATACGCTTATACTTAGTGCATAGTACAGCGTAAGTATATATATTACATATATATAAGCCATATTCGATATAATATTACCTAATACGCTTATACTTAGTGCATAGTACATCGTAACTATATATATTACATATATATAAGCCATATTCGATATAATATTACCTAATACGCTTATACTTAGTGCATAGTACAGCGTAAGTATATATATTATATATATATAAGCTACATTCGATATAATATTACCTAATACGCTTATACTTAGTAGACACACACGCACGCTTCGTAGTACTATTCATCCCTTTTATTACAAAAGTGTTAACGACTAACATTTATATTCTTTATTTACTAAATACAAAAGTGATTTTTAATTTTGACCTTTGTTGACCTAAATAGCGACCAACTTTGGTCGCTAAACATACATAATTTTAAATTAGCGACCCAAGTTGGACGCTAAACTTAAATCAGATTTATTTATCTTTTTTATTATATTTAAAATATTAACCGGGTCCCAGCTTAGCGACCAAAGTTGGTCTATACCTACTGAGCGACCAACATTGGTCGCTAAAGTTGAATTATATTTATTTATATTTTATAATTTTTTTAAACAAAATTATAATTATTAAAATTTTATAACTGGGTCCCAAATTAGCGACCAAAGTTGGTCTCAACCTGTTTTCTCTTTATATAGCGACCAACTTTGGTCGCTAATTTTAAATTTTATTTATTTATATTCTGTTATTTTTTAAAAATAATGTTGTAATTATTAAAATTTAATAAGTGGGTCCCATGAAGCGACCAACATTGGTCGCTAATCTGAGTAATTCTTTGACCAAGCAAGTCTGACCAGTCTGGTCAACAGTTTGACAAAATTTTCGACCAAGTTGCGACCAACGTTGGTCGCTAATTTATTTAAAATTATTATTTTATTATTTTCACCAGTTTAGCGACCAACTTTGGTCGCTTTTCTTGGCAAACCAACTTTGGTCGCTAAGTTTTGGTCGCTTTATGCAGGAATTCTAGTAGTGAAAGAAATTATGGGATCAAAGACATTTATGGTTCTAGCCATTTCTTTGGCTATTTTTGTAATAAAATCAGAGGTTGCAGCTAGGGAGTTGGCTGGCAGCTCCAACGCTAAGTTTCTTTCCTTTTAAGACATTTTCACTTAAAGTTGTTTTTGGTATGACGAAAGTGATTTTTCAAGAAAATATTTTTCATGAATAAGTCATTTTTTGTTATTAGACTCGGTTTATTTTGCATTTGCTTTAGTTCTTAACGACTAAACTAATCGAAAATGAACAAATAAAGTATCACAATATCTATTGACCTAATATGCATATGCGCGATTATTGGTGCGTGCAGCAAAGGAAAATGACGCAAAATTTGTAGGAGGTGGACTTCCAGGATTTGGAGGAGGCGGAGTTCCAGGGTTTGGAGGAGGCGGATTTCCAGGATTTGGAGGAGGCAGGTTTGGTGGATATCGTGGAGGCGGATATGGTGGATATCCTGGTGGTGGCTATGGTGGATACCCTGGTGGTGGCGGCGGTGGATACTATGGAGGTTATCCAGGAGGAGGATATGGTGGATTTCCCGGTGGTGGTTATGGAGGATATCCTAGAGGTGGTGGGTTTGGAGGTTGGCCTCGCAACTAATTTTATATATATATATATATGATATAATACTATATATATATATATATATTATATACTATATATATATTTGTTGTAGTGTTTAGTTTTTTTTGTTCTCCTTTTTTTTTTGTGACGCGTGTGTTGAAAGGATGAATAAGTATGAGCAATCTCGACTATGGATGGATTTCCTTTTTCCTTACATGTAATTGGAAGTCATATATTTCCTTTGTATTTATTTAGTTTCCACTTTATGTTATACTATTATTGTTTAAAGAGTAAAAGAGGTTCTTCTTTGCCATGATATTTTCAAATATTGACTTATAGTTTTCCTTCCGTCACAATATATGTGAGATTGTTTGATTGCATAGAGTTTAAGAAAGAAACAAAATATTTTAAAATTTGTGATCTAAAATAAGCCATTGAAATTTGCTTCGCTATAAATTATCTCATTATTGGTAAATAAGTCGTTTAAAGTAAACCATCTCAAGTACTTCGCAACCCCTCAACTCAAGCCATAAAAGTATTAATCAAGTTCATATATTCTTATTAATTTGTCCTAATTTTAAAAATATCTTCTCGATTAGAAATTCGTAAAGCTGTTGGGAAATTGGTCAAACTAGCCAGAAAATAGTTGTTCAGATGCAGAATTTTTCAATTGAAATGATCTTTGTACCCAGCATTTAGTTTGTATATGTACCTGAGCAGATAATGTATGTCTATCAGACATAAAAGAGTTCACTGTTAATATTTCCCAACACAATCACATTATACAACTGGGAAATATTATTTTTTGTACTTTTGTGGTGTGTAGACCTATGGCTTTTATTTCCAGTTACATTAGATGCTAGAATGTAAATAACTAGGAATAAACATTTACGATAACAACAAATTCGATGTAATCCCATAAAGTAGGGTCTAGAAGGGGGACGGGAGGGGGAGGGGGGAGGGGTTAAAGTGGACGCATACCTTACCCCTATCTTGTGAAGGTAGAGAGACTGTTTTCAATAGACCCCCCACTCAAGATAAAAGTAAAATTAAAGAGGCAAACACAACACGCAGTAACATCAACAAGATAAAGTGATAGGAAGATAGGGTGATAGAATAATCAAAGTGAAGGGATCAACCTAAGGTAAAAGAAATGTACAGATATAAAGGTATGAAAATAAAAGATTAATACTAATGCTATCGACATGAAAATGAGACACTCCCGCCTAACTACTAACCTTTAACCTTAATTCCCAACCTCCACACCCTCCTATCAAGAGTCATGTCCTTAGTAAGCTGAAGGTGCGACATTTTATGCCTAATAACCTCTCCCCAATACTTCCTAGGCCTACCTCTACCTCTCTTCAGCCCCACCATGGCCAACCTCTCGCACCTCCTCATCAGGACATCTATACTCCTCCTCTTCACATGCTCGTACCATCTCAGCACGCCTAGCTTCCTGCATCTTATGCTCCATGAGGACCACTCCCACCTTGTCTCGGATAACTTAACTAGGAATACACAACTATGCTTCCAAAAATAAATAATTGGGAGGGCACCTCACTGTTACATATGATCAAAACATTAACAAAATTCCACCCTTTTTCTGGCATTTGTATTTGGTCCATTCTTGAGCAGCTTCTAGAACGAGTTCATTTTTACTCAGTTCTTTCAACGCGAAGCATGAATTTATGAATAAAAAATTTGCTAAAATTACAAATTTACAACAAATAATAGTTATGGACCCTAACAATTTAAACATTGAAGTCATTCAGCTTACAAGGTGGGGAATCAATAATTACCAAGGTGAAAGTTCAGATCAGATAACTAACCGACAGGGCTGCTAAGGTTCCTGCATGACTTATTAATTTGATAGTTAAAATAGGTCTTCTATCCTCAAGCTCTTTACACAATCTGTGCCAGTTACATCCTTAGTCTATTTGAGCTCCACTCTTTCTAAGGTATGTATCTTTATATGAAACAGATTTTCATGGCAAATTCTATCCATTTGAAACTTGGAATGTAACAATAGTATTGGACTGGGAATGTTCTTGGATTCTTTATGATAGAGGAAGAATTCATAGTGGCAAGGAGCTTCTCATAAAGGTCTTTACCTGTGTAACGACCCGGCCGATCGTTTTGAAAGTAATAACCCCGATTCGCTATTTATTGCTTCCTCCGTATCTTTTTCTGCTTATGTGACTTGCCGGGAGGTTTTGGTTGTGGTTTCAGAGTGATTTGGGACACTTAGTCCTTAAAACGGAAGCTTATGTTCTAAGATTGTGACCGTAGACGAAAGTGTGTGAAGACGACTCCGGAATGGAGTTTCGTCAGTTTCGTCAGCTTCGTTGGGTGATTTTGGACTTAGGAGCGCGTCCGGATTGTGAATTGGAGGTCTCTAGCTGATTTAGACTTGAAATGGTGAAAGTTGAATTTTTGGAGATTTTGACCGGAAGTGGAATTTTTGATATCAGGGTCGGATTCCGGTTTCGGAAGTTGGAATAGGTATGTGTAGACATGTAATTTTTGACCCTCCCCGAGATTTTACACATTTTAGCATTTAAATATTTAGATTAGGTCTAATATAGCTATTTCAACTAGTTTTGACTCTTTTACTTTATTTTGTCACAAAAATAAAAATTACAAAAATATTTTCTTTTATTTAGCTAATTGATATTTTATGTAGTTACTTTTAGTTTATATACCTTTCATAAAATTAAAAAATACAAAACCACTTTGTTTTCTAAAATATTAGTATTTTTGGTAGGAATATTATTTTAATTTTGCGATGATTTTAATATAACCTTATTTTTATTTTTAGTATGATTTTTGAAAATACCAAAAAAAAAAAATAGTTTTAGCTTATAGGATTGATTTTGCATTTTTAGATAAATTTTAGAGGGAAACACCTAATATTTTTCATATAATACATTCAGATTTATTGAGTCTAGTTTTGAATTGATTTTAAAGAAATTTAGCCCATTTTCGGATGTTCTTGGGCCCAAATTTGGGCAGCCTACCCATCACCCTTCATTAACCCAAAAACCCCTAAAAAAATCCCTAACCTAGGAACACCAGCGAAGAACAGACCCCTCCTTCCAAACACCATCAACGATCCTTCTTCTTGATTCTATTCCAACGCCCAGCCAAAAACCAACGGCCGTCGCCGCCGGAAAAGCCTCCCTTCTCCAAAATTAGCTGCCACCTATCGCCACTTCTTCTTCTTCGCTTCTCCACCCTTCAACTCCAGCCGCACACCACAAAATCGGTGCCCGATGACGACCCCAATACAGCCATCACAAGTCCCAAAATCAGCCCGAACTTAGCTAAGATTACTCTCCAAAGCAGACTCAAAATGACTCCAAACAGTCCTCAAAGCTGTCACCAAAAATCAGTAAAAACGGGTTCCTTAACTGAAGTTAAAAGAAGCTTGGAGAGTCGAGTTTTCAGTTCGCTGTCGATAGTTACCGGAGGTTTCCTGTCATGTTCGCCGCTCCGTCAACGTTGTCGCAGTCTAAGGTTTCCGATGTTGAGCATTTTGCGATTCAAATTTATTTTGCTTTAAGGTCCGTCACTATCTCATCCTTTATTTATTGATTTTGTCCATGTTTGGATGATAGACTTGTGTGAATTCATGCATATTTGTGATATCTTAAATTGAAATGGTCTGGTTTTTAAACGAAACTTTATTACTTGATTTAATGGAGAAGTACTCGAATGTTTAGTAGTGCGACAATTTGCTATTTACTTACCGTTGATGTATGCATTTTAGACACATGCTCTGAAAGGAAATGAAATTGAAAAGGATTTGTCCTTGGAGCTTGGGTGAAAAACTGAAAGGAAAGTGTTTTAATGCTTTATTTTGTTTGATTAAAACCGCTAGTAGCATGTTTAGCCCAATCACATTCGGGTAGGCAATATTTTAGGTTCGTATTTTATTTTATTCGAGGTAAGAGGTCGTCCCCTTTAGTTATATTCAGGGGAATACCCCGTAGATTATGTAAATATTTTTATCAAGGGTATTCCCCGTCGTACAAATATACGGAGGCCGTGGCGAACATCGTAGAAGAAGTAGCGTAGGATAATTTGGAACTTTAATTTTCCTTCTTTTAATTTTCTTTCATTTAGGTGGGGACGACCTCGAGCGTCTTTTGTGTTTAGTTTCCTTTTCTGTGATTTTACCTCAATTTGAATGTTTTAAAAGCCAACTAGATCATGTACGCAACCGTGAATTTCACGGGACTCGGGGAATGCCTAACACCTTCTCCCCTAGTCAAATGAACCCCCTTATCTAGAATCTCTGGTGCAAACTAGTTTGGAGTCCAAAGTGTTTTAAAAGGAAAAATTATTTTTAAAAATGGTGACCTGGCACACCGAAACCAATGCCAGGTGGCAACTCTGAAAAATCCTTTTAAACACAATTTTGTCACTTTCTAATTGGAAAACCCTTTTGAGCTCCAAAAATCACTTTATTTATTTTAAAGGGCTTAGTGAAGTGAAAAAGGGGTGTGACAATTTTGGCGACTCTGCTGGAGAGTTGCAGGTTCGAGCTGATACTTGATCTTGTTGGCTTTTAGGATATTCGATTGAGGTGTTTCTTTTCTTTATTTGCTTTGTTTATTTAGTTTGTTTGTCTTATTTCCTGTTTTGTTGGTTATTTGTTTATCGCTTTTCCTTATGTGTTTACCGCTTTATAACTGTCATCATTTGCATAACTATGGGTCTTCTTTCTGTAACAAGTCTCGGAGTACGTGTCGCGTACACGAACTCTTTGTTGAGTCACCCTTATTTTAGGGGGGGGGGGCGTCGGACGTATGGGGNGTTGGACGTATGGAGTGGGTGGAAAGCTTGAGCAGCCACCATCGATCATACACTCCCCCGAATTGCCTTGTTAGTGAACCCCAAACGTAGGTCAGCCTTTAGGTTATTTTTATTTGCATCATATCATTGTGACTTAGTAGGGCTCGGTCCTAGGTACCGTGTTCCTTCGTAGGAGGCCTGTCCAAATTTTGTCAAAATGGGCCCGTGGCCCAAAAAGGCATTCAATCATCCCTATGTTATACATGTTGCATCTTTGAGGGTAGAAAGGTCATCTGGCGGACTGATGTTTGGGAAAGAGGGTGAAGTATAAAGATGAAGCAAGTAGGGCCAGTTATATTTTTCTTTCACACTTTTTTCAAGAAAAGACAAAAAAAAAAGAAAATGAAAAATCCAAAAAGATTTTGCACTTTTCCATCATTTTCCAAAAATAAAAAAAATATAAAAAAAGAGAAAAAGAAAATCCAATTTTTTTTACATGTTTCATCATTTTTCAAAAAAAAAGACAAAAAAAATGTTTTCTTCAAACTAGTGTTTTTTTTAAAATGTCTCCCGTATCAAATCTTCCCGAACTACCCGTACCCGATTCTCGTCTTTCGGGGCGAGATACGTAGGCAGCCCACATAGGGTCCGCTCTTCCTAGTGAGTCTTAGATTCTTGGCTTTGCGGGGTCGTAGCCTACTCTTGCATGTCTAGCCACTTTGGCCACATCGGCCGTTTTTTGCAAAATAGGGCTATTTTTGCAAAGTGGTTTGTTTAACTGTGTTTGGAGTCTTGAATCCACAATTAGGTGTCTCTTTACTTTAAGGCTCGTCCTTGTCGAATTTGCATGTCTAGCCGCTTTTGGCACATCGGTCGTGCTTGCAAAATGGGGCTATTTTCGCAAAAGTGGTTCAATGACCCATGCCTTAGGATCTTGAGTCCACATTTAGGTGTCATATTACTTTAAGCTCCGTCCTTTTTAAGTTTGCAGCTTTAGCCACTTCTGGCCATATCGGCCGTTTTTGCAAAAATGTGTCATTTTTGCAAATTACTTTTGGGCCATAATTATTGGGAGTTTGAAGCCATATAAGCCTTAGTGAGGTATTTCCATGTCTTTGAGTTCACCTTTGTTGAATTTGCGCTAATAGGCACTATTGGCCACATAGGTCATTTTGCAAAAATAGCCCAATCATGTCTTGCATGTGTCCATTGGAGGTGTTGTGGCGTCGCATAGTGTCTCGAGTCACTAACTCTATTTGGTCTTATTTTTCTCATTAAGGTATGGATCAGTGTACCAGAGCTCGAGCATGACAGATACCCCAAGACCATCGCATTTGGGAGTTTGTTTGAAGAGACTTTATATTTTGAGTCTGTTTTCATATTTTCTTTCTTGTATTGTCTAGTAGTTTTGAGTCTTTTAGCTGGTGTAAGAGTTTGCCGAGTCTTTTTTCATCGTACTTCCCATTTGTATATGAAGAAAGAAATAGTTACAAATGAAAAATTCAAAAGTTTTTTGTCTTTAGTTTATTTTGTCCATTACTTTTCCAGAACTACGCTTGATCTGATTCATAAGGGACATGAGACGTAGGCAACCTACATAGGGTTCGATCGAATCATTTTTTAAAACTAAAAAAATTTAAAATAGAAAAAAAAGATGAAATTGTGGATGTGAGAAGTGAGAGGAAAGAAAAGTATTTATCAGAAAGAAATAGAGAGGAAAGAAAATGAACAAACCGAGAAGTGTTAAAGAGAAAAAATGAAGAGGAAAAAGGGCAAGAAGAGTGAAATTAGGATGATGCCATATGACCTTCGTGCCCTCGAAGTCATTTTAGAACTGATAATTGTAACTAGGTGCATGGCACATAATGAGAGATTATCTTATGTTAAATGCCCTAATGTTAACATGATGACTTCATTTTGTTCCTCCTTGTTATCTTCATTGTAGCAGAAGGGTGGTTGGTTTGCGGTTCTTAAACTGGTAACTCTTTCCTACAACATAAAGTCGAAAGGCAATGGTAGACGACAACGGATGTGAGTTGGTTGATACTGGTGCCCGGAAGCAATTGGTTGAACAAGACACTAGGTTGGTTAAAGAGGTAAGGATGTTAAGACAGCACATGGCGAATATGTATCAGTCTTGGATGACTGGGAAGGCACCACCCCCGCCACCATCTAGCTTCCTTGATGCTACCCTTACCCAAACTCCGGTCATAGTGTTAGATGATCTACCATATTCTCCCGATTTTTCCGCTTATAACAGCTTTCCCAACCTCCCTAGTAGCTCCATCACTCGTCCTCCAACTGCCTTTCCCAAAAGTTGCCCTCCTGTCATATCCACTATCCCCACGATCACAACTTCTCAACAATCTTTCCTTCATAGATCCCACAATGAATACCCACTCAAAACTCATGATGCCCATACTACCCCCAGAGTTGGCCCATCAGGTCCCTGACTCATACAATCATAGCCCTCGGAATGAGCCTCATTTTGAAAATGAAAAGTTCACAGGAAAAGAAGGGCGAGATGGGACATCCAGGAAGCTGAAAGGTATAGAACAATCCTTAAAGAACATGCAAGGGATGGGAAATCAGATTAACATGTCTTACAATGACTTATGTATGTTCCCTGATGTTCATCCGCCCGCGGGGTTTAAAATGCCAAAGTTTAACATGTATGATGGACGTGGAGATCCAGTAGCCCATCTGAGGGGTTGTTGCAGTTAAATGAGAAGTGTTGGTGGGAAAGATGATTTATTGATGGCGTATTTTAGTGAGAGCTTGACTGGGGCAGCTTGGGAATGGTATACTCGTCAAGATGTCAATAAGTGGCATGCATGGGATGACATGGCTCAAGATTTTGTTCGACACTTTCAGTACAATCTAGACATTATCCTATACCCTCCCTATCTAAGTTGGAAAAGAAACCCGAGGAAAGTTTTAGGGAGTTTGGACTCAGATGGAGGGAACAAGCTGCTTGAGTCAGTCCCCCGATTGGTGAAGAAGAGATGGTTGAGCTTCTCCTACAAGCCCAGGGGCCCACCTACTTCAGTCATTTGATCCCGGCCTTGGGTAAACCTTTCAATGATGTGGTAAAAATGGGGGAGATGGTAGAGGAAGGAATCAAGTCAGGCAAAATCATGAGTTATTCTGCATTGGAAGATACTACAGAAGACATTCAGAACATCTTAGTAAGTTTGGGTGGAAGAAAGAGAAATAGAAAAGATTTTGTTGAGCCCTGCCGACGACAAGATCCAGTGGGTGTTCTTGCTCAACGCCTTCAGCCTCAATATCGACCCCATGAATATCCATGTGCTCCAGATAATCCTCCCCAATGCTACTTCTCTCCACAAAATCCCCAAAGTCATACCTCACCTTTCCAGTACTCCATCCACATTGCACCGCCATATGCTCCACACCGACAAGACCCGCAATGGCCTGCACCACTTCCACAAATGTCTTTCCCACATCTACAAGTATATCAACCACCTACCCCCAAGAGGTTAAAATCGAGGCCGGATACAAAATGAAAAGACTGGAACAAAGAGAAAAGTCTTTCACTCCTATTGGAGAATCATATGCTAGTTTGTTCCAAAGATTGAGGCAATTGGGCATGTTGAAGCCGATTCAGATAAAAATGTCGAACCCCCTTCCAAAGAATTTTGATTATTCTAAAAGGTGCGCATATTGCTCTAATGCTCCAGGGAACAGCATAGAAAAGTGTTGGAATCTGAAAAGAGCAGTCCAGAAGCTTGTTGATGCAGGTGACATTGTCGTGCAAAATCCAGATGCAGTAGACACTAGCCAAAGTCCATTGCCTGTTCATAATGAGACGCATATGGTGGGTATGATTTGTGTTGAAAAGGAATATGAAAACTCTTCTGAGCTCCTTGGGGGGTCACTTTCCGCAAAGCTTTCAGCACTATCAGTCTCGGTTTCGGAAGTTGATCTTAAGAGTGAAAGAGAGTTGGCAAAAGGGACCCAGAAAGCTATTTGCTAAGGTCAACATGATGGAGACTTGCGAAGGTTCTAGTAATGTCGATGTGCGACTCAGTGGCTAAGATGTCGAGCTTGGTAATTGGAAAGACACTCCTTTCTTGGCTAGCCAGGGAGGAGTTTTGGTGGTTTATTTTGTTGTAATTGCTGTTGTCCGGGTTATATCAGGGTTGTAATCTGGATATTGTCTTGTGAGTCAAACCCTTCTATCCTTTTATTTTGCCTAGTTCGTTTAGTCGCAGTAACTCGTTTAGTGTTATCTAGGTTTGTTCCAGGGTTGTAACCCCAGTTTATTTTGCTTGTTTTGTTGTTCAAACCCTTTCACCGTCTGTCTAATGCAATTTCCTATTTTCTATTATTTCTAGTAAGTTTTTATTTAGTTCCCTTTTCCTTTTATAGTTCTTTTCATGCTAGCTCTAATGACATGACATGCACACATAATTCTAGTCCTGGTCTTAAAAGTTAGTCTAATTATGAAGCAATGAAACAATTTTAAAGATGATAGGGACGTTTGAGGGAAATAAGTACATATTTGGACATTTTGAGATCATTTAAAGCCCGAACTATGTGAAACTGGGGTAGATAATTTGGGAAGTTAATAGGATGACAAGAATTCGTTAAAGGAGAGTGCATCTCGGACAATTTAAAGCGAGCAACTTTGAGTCCAAGTGCATCTCAAGTTACGAGATAAAGCCAAGGAAGTTTACTCCAAATAGACGGAGGGTGTCCATCGTGAAGAAGAAATCACCCAACGAGAGTTCTGTACTTGACAAGGCACTAAAAAGTGGAAGGCATATCAGCGATATCAATGCTGAAGCTGCAAAAGAAATGTTGTGCATGATCTCTCTTTTTCATCTTCAATTTGCATGTGTTGTACTTGGCATTTTAGGGATTGCGAGGCCCTCTTTCAGCTACCCAAACACTTTATACTATTCGGTACCCCTTTTGAGCCTATGCTAATTTTCTTGACCTCCCCTGTTTTAGAATCAAGTTAGAGTCATAAAAAAAAAGTTCATATCCCCATAGGTTTGTTTTAGAAAGATCATTCTAAAAAAAAGAAAAAAGAAAAAACAAACAAAAGAGAAAAGATAAAAAAAAAAAGGAAAAAGAAGAAAAATAGCAACAAAAAAGAAGTATCTTTGTGAACTACGTTCGACCTGATTCTTGTCACCACAAGATACGTAGGCAGCCTTACGGCTCGGTCGCACCAAATAAAATATTTCATAATCCTACAAAATCAAGATTGGGGCAGTTTTTCTTAGAAATTCCATCTAAAAAAAAAAGAGAATCAAATTCATTTGTTTTAGAAATCGGGGCAAAGTTTTAAAATGGATTCTAAAAGTTGTAAATAAATTAACCCGGTTATCTTAGTTATTTTGAGCCTTTATGATATCCTTTCTTTCTAACCCTGTTCAAAAGCCACAATACAGTCCAAAAAAGACTCCTAGATAATCTTTGAGAGTGCTGAGTAAGCCATGCCAATAGCATATGATATTTTTACCATGGTTAATGCCTTGTCATCTGTAGAATCAGAGGAAATATGAATAAAAGAACAAAATGAGAGAGTCTTATTGGTGTAAACCTTCACAGGCACCATGAGGGGACGGTGAGTTGAGAGGAAGAACAAAAAGGAGAGAGGCTTGATAGTGAAAACCCTTCGGGCACTACAAGTCGAATAAGGACTGTGATCCGGATAGGATATTCCAAGCATTGAAGCCCAGTTTCACGGCTTAAAGATACAAAAAGAGTTGAACATTAGACTTGCTTGACAGATTAGGCCACTTAATCCAAAATGCATGTCACGGTCAGTAGAGTTGGTATCCACATCTGATTAGTTTCTACTTGGTGATTTTCTTGTTAGATGTCATCTTTTTCCGGTTGTCCCCTTAACTCAGTTCTTCTTGCTTTGTTTAAGTCCTCTTGAGTATGTTTTGTTAGAACAAGTAAGAAATGACTTCAAAACTTGCCACCAGCTTTCTAATTGCACAAAGCGGAGTCTGGATAGCACGTCAAAGTGGCATAAGTCAGGATAGAGTAGTATGTGCACTGAGTGGGTGGCAACTGACGTGCTTTGTTCATGTAAAATACAAAGGTTCAGTATATTTCAATTCATGAGCACAATGCAACAGATAGAAGGTATTGGGTTTGAACGGATCAGAGGTATTTTCTGTGATAAGGGTGACAGAGAAAGTGGTTACTCAATAAACAAGCAAGGTCTTTCAAGTTGAAATCAAAGTTATTATGGCAAGTGAAGGAGAAATCGCCCTCAAAGTCAAGGCCACAAACCAACCACCATGTTTAAGCTCACAAGTTTTCTTTGTTGAAACAAGGACGAAGACTATGTCCAAATCAAAGCTTGGAAGCTTGAATTTTTCAAGTGCAGTGCCCAAATTTTGTCAGCACAAAGGTTGTTTGAGAAGGTTATTACCTCCTAGGAATTTTCCCTAGTTGAGATGACCATTACCTCCTAGGTATTTTCCCTAGTTGAGAAGAACCGCACCTCCTAGGCATTCTCCCTAGTCAGAAGAGTTT